ACAATCACGAGCCACGCATGTACGCGTTCACGCTAACATTGGCTCACTCGCTGTGAAGACGCTGGGTCCCTCTTCTTCCTTTCTACCGTTCCTGCGTAGGGGCAGATCAGAGCGATGCGCTGCCAGCGTACTATGAGCATGCACAGACAGGGATCTTTCAAGTACAAACAAAATCAGGGTTCACTAAAACATGTTAGTATGCTTTTCGCTGGCATGCTTGCTTACATCGAAGTACATACCGCCTCTGCAAAGCATAACAGGCGGTGCGAGATTGCACCTCGCCCACATGCGAAAGCAGTTCTACTTTGTAATTTACCTCTTCGCTTGCGTTTCATTTGTGCGCGACTGCATATGCGAACTATCCGGCAAACAATTATACGAATTCCCGAGTACATTACAGCATATGCACTACTGCACGGAACTGCTCAGAGCAGCCGGCCGTAGACGAGATATTCTATCGGAAATGTTTCCAAATGACGTCACCGGGCATTTAACAATCAAGCTGGTGGTTCACTTGTTTGTTTTTGTTTTATTCTTGAACTACGAGCGTCTCCTTCATAACTGGCAGTGTGAGCCACCAAAAATTTTTTTTTTAAATTGTTCCCAATTCCTTGCATGCCAGAAATATTTTTCCCAAACATTAAAAAAAAACCTATTAATTCCAACAGCTTAGCTATCAGCGTGTTATACAGCAGAGAAACTTTGGTTGTTGAGTTCGTCCTTCCGAGCTGCATTCGTATCGCCGACATATTCGTCTTTCCCGTACTGTCTCTAAAAGTTAAACCTTCGTGAAGGCTAGTTCCCCCTAGTGTCCCAGTATGTGCTACGAAAGTAACTATTTCCTTCAATACGAATTTCACGAGCACTAATTTCAGAAGCGGCAACACAAACGAATAAGCCCTGCAGCAATAAGCATCGGGACCGATTTGTACTGTGTGTACCAGAAGTATTATATGAGGTGTCATAACCATTCGGCTTCAGCTACACAGCCCATATGTGCCTGAACCAACCACTCATAGATTGATTGATGTGTGGGGTTTAACATCCCAAAACCACCATGTGATTATGAGAGACGTCATAGTGGATGGCTCCAGAAATTTCGACCCCCTGGGGCTCTTTAACATGCACCCAAATCTGAGCACACGGGCCTACACCATTTTCGTCTGCGGGTCAGCAGCCGAGTACCTTAGTCACTAGACCACCGCGGCAGGGGCTCCAAGAGATGATGCACCAAAAACAAGCATTGTGAATGCTGGCACGATCAGAGTAGGGCGAGAACACCAACACAAACGAAGTGAAGACAGCTTAGTCTCGCATCTGGTTCGATATAAAGTTAAAAAAAAAAACTTCTATACATGGAATTTCACAAAAATCACGCCCATCACCTCCAGTAATTCTTGCAGCGTCACATGCTAGATTGACGTACGCAGGACGATTGCTTGTTGTATACGTCACCTCCACCATGTTGTGGCACGCGCCCGGGTGATGACGGTCACGCGGCGTTCAGTCAGGCATTTCGCCTCTTTCAGAGGCGCATACGGCGTTGCAAATCTTGGCAGACGAGATTGTGACCGCCCAGTGCATGAATTCCTTTTTCCTGCTAGAACGTCTCAAACCTGGAGAAGAGCCTTTTGAGGTGTTCACAAAAAGAAGTGAAGTCGACCTTGAACAGTTAGACCAGATTTAAGGGTTCCGCTTAAATTGAGGACATCGCCGTGAGCAATGAAAAGAAAAATGGTAGGTGTAACCTCAAGAGACAAGAAGAGAGCAGAGTGGATTAGGCAACGAACGGGGGTTAAGGATGTCATAGTTAAAATCAAGAAGAGGGAATGGACATTAGCCGAGCATGTAACGCATAGACAGGATAACCGCTGGTCATTAAGGGTAACTAACTCGATACCCAGTGAAGGCAAGGGGGTTAGGGGAAGACAGAATGTTAGGTGGGCATATGAGATTAAGCAGTTTGCGGGTATAAATTGGCAGCAGCAAGCACAGGACCGGGTTAACTGGCGGAACATGGGAGAGACCTTTGTCCTGCAGTGAACGTAGTCAGGCTGATGATGATGGTTAGACCAAGTTAACACGAGCGAAAATTCTCTTCTGACCTATTAGCGCCCTGGCTATTCGCTCCTGTGTTGCCCTTCTAAGCCATTCCGAAAAAGAAAGAGACCCAAGAGCGTGTTATTCGACAGTGGACACTTAACTCCCTATGATGGACTAGAAAAAGAGAGACGGTAATCTGCAAACCCTGCCGAAAAAAATAAACAAAAACACATGGCTATGCTAAACCATTGACACCTTGGTGCCATCATAAGCTAGAGCATTCCTGTTTGCTTTCCTGTCGTAGACACAGATCCGACACTTATTTCTTCAAAAACATGAATTTCGTCCAAGTTTATTGTGTCTACATATCGATTTTGGAGGCCTAAAACAGCGTTACGCCCACCTATTTTTGGAGCGCAAAACCCAGTTCCGGCTTGTAACGCTACAAATCCGGCTTGTAACGCACACAAGACAGTCAGCTCTGGCGCACAGCTCCTCCCCGATGTGCCCTGGCAGTTGCGTGTGTCGTTTAATCTGACAAATGGTCAAAGGCACAAATGATAACGGTTTTCGTTTTACTGTAGGCTGGCGATATCAAGAAATGATTATTCGTCATATCTCCGTGCTTATCAGCACTTCCATCGCAGCGCACTCATCATACTTATACGCTAACTCCTTAATTTGCCAGAACAAATCTATTTAAATTCTCATTCTTTCCGCAAACAATTAGAGACTGGAATAATCAGTCTGGCGACAAATTACTCTCTTACAGTAGAGAGCCTCCTCCTAGGTTACTTTGTAAACCAGTAAGAATTGGTTCCATTTCATTCACTGGATAAATTGCTTCACTGCTACTGTATTCTTATTCATTTATTTGTATTGCCGTTTCGCCACCTGAATTACTTTCATTTCTTCTTTCATTCTGTTAGTATTACTGCTAGCTATCCACCAGTGTTGTGCAATGTTTTGATGCTTTTGTATTGTCATTTCTGCATGGGCCCTGCGGCCTGCAGTATTTCTGGAAATGAAAAAAAAGATATGAGAGAGAAACATTGCATTGATCCTCACCGACTTCCATGCGTAATCATGAAAACGACAATGAACCTTTGCAGCGGGATATTTCTAAGCACAGACATGCCAGAAGAATTCTTCCAACTGCAACTGTCTACAAATGTGACTGCCTCTAACTTTTTTAATACAAACATGTTTGCTTGCTGCAGCCACTCAAAAGTTAAAAATTAAATCTTAGTTAATCGGATGGCTGACAATGTTAATTATTGTCTCACTTTGCGTCCCCGTGACTATATAAGTTATCTGCAAAGGTGGTTTTCATCTTCTTCAAAGTGCTGAACTTTAAGAAAACTATAAAGCTTAACTTTGATTGATATGTGGGGTTTAACGTCCCAAAGCCACCATTTGATTGTGAGAGACGCCGTAGTGGAGGGCTCCGGAAATTTTTACCACCTGGGGTTCCTTAACGTGCATCCAAATCTGAGCCCACGGGCCCACATTACCACCTCCATCAGAAATCTTGTTGTCCAAACTGCACACACCAAAACAATGCATAGCACACCTAAAGGGCCATTAAACTTGTCACAAAACATGTTTTCCCACAAACCATTTAAAATGTCCATCGATAACAAACTGACCTTACAGATAGCTGCTGCGGAACATACCGATTTCATATACGATAGGAAAAGTTCCCATATGTATGTGCTCATGCACCATCCTAAAGACTCAATTATCATTTGCTCACAGTGGCATAAACTTGAGGTTCGAAAACATGCGTCCTTATGATACAAGCAACCTAGAGCTCACAGCAAGACGCCACAGCCACCCCAGCGGTTTGTTACGATTTCGCATCCTACATATACACGGACACCGTCAGGGATTTTCCTTACCACACCGGGTTCCCTTCCAGCCCTTGTATGAATATGCTCTGAATTCTAACATTTCACCCTGTGTTAAGCAATTCTACGTCAAAGCCACTACGCCGCCTCTGCAGGTCGGAACAAACCGTAATTAGAAAATATGATAGTGGTCAAGCTGAATGGATTATCACGGTCTTTGAATATAATAATGGTGAAAGTGGTGTTCTTGCAGTGGCTGCAGTGATTTGCTATGCGCAAACTTACTGCGGGTTGCGCAGGCGAAACCCGCGCTTCAACACGAATTACGATAACACCGAAAAGTACTGCTCTATATCATGTTGCCACAAAATAAATCACACGCTATATCTCAGGCTTGAAGTTCCTTTCAAGCGTCAGATACAGCATAAACAAGGGATAACTGCACGTACAAGTTCTCATTTCGAATCCATCTATTTACGTCTACACCAGCAAATCGACACTAAATAATGCTGCCGACTCCTCCGGCCCTTATTTCGTTGCAAGGAAGCGCTTAAAGTACGAGCAATTCTGGGACTAGACGCTGCATGTGCTTACAACTAGCGCGTACAGCGTCCGTGGTACATATGATGCCATATACCACTGGTTGCTATCGGCGCAAAACACAGCTGTTCACGTGCGCGCGGCACCCTAGAGACCGAATTTATCGGCGCACCATCAATGAGACCGTGTTCTAGGTTACGTATTACATTTGGTGTGAACTGCCGACTTTGGCTTACAAAGAACTTTGCTGAAAGGTCAAAACACGACGCGTCGTTGTCAACTTGAAACTGACAACACTATGCTTTCTACTTCACGAGCGCAGACTGCAGTTTGCAAACAATAGTGAAACAAAAGCCAGTCAAAGAGCAGTGCCTCAGACTGCCCATGAAACCCTTCACAAATAAACACGCGCACACGCTTCCGGCAGCTTTCGTCGACACTGCCGATCAGTTTTCCCGGTTGTTTGCCAACAGATATACGGAGCCGCTGCTCTAGGCCTAATGTCAATACAGATAAAATGAGATAATAGCGCGCAGTCGATAGATAAATGGGCACAAAAGTGTTCACCTTCTTTTGTCGAGGGCTTCCAGTTCTTACTGCTCACGGAGAGAGACATAATGATGCACGGACACGCCTTCCTGCATGGATTGAAGGCGCGACCGACAAACTATCGCGACCGCAACCACAGCATGTTGACGCGAACTCCGTCGACTTGCTTTCTAGCCTCGTTGACCCGCTGGCGAAAAACGCCGGCACAACCAGGCAGCTGCTGCGGAGCAGCGGCCAAGCAGCGCGCTGTCGTCGCACGTCGCTGTTGTCGCTGCCTGTAGCACAGCACCATTGACAGCGACATCAAGCGTTTGCTGCTGCGCTGCCGCTCTTACAGCAGCGGCGGGCCGTCTTCTCAGCGCAAAAATAACGCTCGTAGTTGAAAAATGGCCCAAGGGACGAGCTATAGACGACGCTCGTGATCTGCATCAGATACATCATCATCCTTCTTGGAACATTAACTATGGGCGGCGGTGATCTGGTAAGCTAGATAAGGTTGTGTCCTGATCTGTTTCAAAACTGATCACTTTTCGCTTCGACTTTACGAGACGTCAAGTCGCTTTTTGAAATGTTCAGCTCGCTCATGCTTCTCGCTTCAGAACTTGAAGAAGTCGTGGCATCCATCGACGCTACGCAATGTCGAAAGAGTGTGGAAGGCAGAACTGGTGCGCGACCAGGAGAAGGCGAAGATCGAGCAATTGCAAAAAGAGCTTCAAGAAGAGCGCGACAAGCAGGAAATGCGCCAGTATGCTGAAAATAAAGGTGTTGTTAAGTATGTATTTCACTACCTTTTGCTGTAGCTTATGTTTCGTCTGTACTTTGCGTCTCATGTTTTTTTCCCCCATCTTTTATTACATCGCAGAAAAAAACAGGAACGACTCGATTGGATGTACCAGGGAGTTGCTGGTCTGGTAGACAGGGAACAGTACCTCCTCGGTCGCAAGGTTGACAAAAACTTTGAAATCATGAAAAAAGAGGAGGACGGTGTGGAGGACAAAAACGAAGGTGAACACAACGATGCGCCCGTTCTTGGTGTGCTTTTCTGTTTAATCTGCGTCTTTTTACAGATCAGCAACCCGGTTCTATTTTCACCATGGCACCTACTAATGCTGCTGTGGACCTGGAAAACAAGATACGAGAGGACCCATTATTTGCCATCAAGTGCGCTCATTTCTACGCATGTTCTTTCAAACTAGAGTTATTATTTTATCTCGCAAAAACTACTTGCTGGTGGCAAGTTGTTTTTCTATTCAATTTATATCATAATAACTACAAATAGAATCCCCTACACTTTTCTCTGCTATCGTATGTTGGTTTTCATTAAACCATTCTACTAGGGGTGTTCAAATGACAAGGTACGAAATGACACTGTGGGTATAAATGAAGACTTTATTCAAAGTGTACACCATATGCGTGAGCTCAACGATTCCATTGATAAACGAGCTGAAGGATTTTGTTTCCGGAATTCCTGTGGCCGTAACAAGACCCAGTTCTTCACAACGTCCTTGAGTTTGTTATTTAAGTTGGAAGTGCTTCTACTTCAGATGTTTTTTTCACTGGGAACATTTGCAATATGACACGGCGATCACTTCTCACTAGGTCAACCACCTTGGTGATCATATTGGCTTTGATGACTTTGTTTGACTGGCCATGGGTCATCAACCAAGCTTTAACAGCCTGCTGGAAAATGGGCTCTCCATTTTCACAGGGGCTTGTTAGACACGCAGTCTTTCTTATATATGGCCACCATCGGGCTATAAATGGTTGTCAGAAATCGGATAATGCCTCGCTGCTCTTCAATTATCGAATTTTTAACTCAATCATCAATTTAACTATCTGAACGCCATTCTGTCCTTACACGTATTGGTTAGTCAATTGGATGACGCTCTTTATTAGAGCTTCTGCTCTCTGCTGTGTATACAGGCAACAGCGCATGCTCTGATCCACTACAAGGTATCCAATTGCATCCCCAGATGCCCTACTACGTTCTCTTATAGTGGCATGGGCATCTGTGATAACGGTTGCATTGTTACCTTTCCATTTGAACGCCCTTCTGTACAAGTTACCATGTCAAGTGTTTTGATTTTATACTTTTCTAAACATTGTCATTTATTATTATACACCCTTTTATAATGCTTTAACAATTGAGGGTACTCAAATAAATAAATTAGGCATGGTGCAAGCATTATCTGTTTATATCACATAAACTAGGGTTGGAAGTGCTAGCTTATATAGAACACAGTAATATTGTGTTGAGTGTTCATCAAAGCGTTTTATGTTTATGGTGCACATTCTTGTCTGCAGTCACCCATTATACTTTGCTACGCTTTCACGGGCGAGCATTTGTGTTCATAGCAGTGGACTGGTGATATTGAGATCAGCTTGCTGTATACTATATGACTACCGTCAAAGTCCTTCAAAGTATTGAAGGACTCTGATATTGTTCACATGCACACACTATTTCCATGTGGTTGTAGTAACGTCAAATTGTGCAACTTATTACACTAGCCTAATGCATACATTTTAGAGTGGAATTGTATATTTTTTTCTTTCTTTCAGGAAACAGGAAATGAAGACCAAAAAAACATTGCTTAGCAATCCTGTAAAAATGAAACATCTCAAAGAAATGGTATGCTTTCAGTCAGTTTTACGTCATTACATGTAAATTATTACAGTGAGCTTTATAAAGTAGAAGAGTTGTCATCTAATTATAGAACTGCAGGAAGTTCATTTTTTTACTATTGTGATTCACTTGTTATGGACAAGTCTGGCATCTCTTACTACAGTCAGTTTGTTCTGATATCTTATTGAAATGGCAAAATAAGATGATTAGGTACAGCACTTTTTCCCATAGAATCCTAATCACAATTGGTCATAAGAGAGATGTGCGAGTTCACCGGCACCTTCAAGACAAACACAGTCATCGGAATGCTATGGAGGAGTGGAGCTTGCTGCCAACATGCATGTGGCTCCCACTGAAAGACAAGTTGACACAAGCAAACCCCATGAGAATTTCTCGTGCAGCTATCCCAACTACACTTGAAGGGCCTTTTGGCACAAATTAACAATGCTATTTTCATGGCTGTGTCAGGTGCTGTAAAAATGTGAAATCACAGCACCATTAAGAATGCTGGAAAGGAAGTTTCTGTACAATTTCATTTTACTGGATAAATCGCATTCTGCTCCTGTGAGAGTAATGCGCAAAAGGCAATATTAGAGCAATGCACAAAAGGCAATATTGAGCAGCAGACATTTGGTTCATGGGTGGCAGTGACTCTAATGGTGTTGGGTGCACCAAGTCGCATGCAGCATTTGTTTCGTGCCTGCTAAGCCACACTGTTATGCACAAAAACAATTATTTATCAATTACAATAAGATTTGTGCTTATCAGTATATTTTAAAAACAATTTCCAGCACAATGCTTGGTGCACAGTGCAGGTCTCCACACCTGTTAGTCATATCCAACATGTATGCACTTTTTGAACGAATGCTCTTTAGCTGCCACCATAATCCTCTGTGGGCTGTTGTTATTAAGTGCGATGCTCCCCCCTCCCCCCCCCCCCCCCCCAAAAAAAAAGAAAAGCTTGCTGCTGAGGCTGTCACATCAGCTTTTGTTCCCCTGTGCAAGTCCAGAAAGGAGGTGATTCTCCTCTCTGTTAAAAAGGTCTATAAGCTTCAAGCTATGAAGCTTGTGTTGACACGCTGTGCTGCCCTGGCAGCCTTTTTGCAATACGGCTAGTAGGATGGCGCGATGGCTCTACCGCAGCGGAAGGGCGCCCAAAAAAATGTAGAAAACGAAAGTAATGTTGCATGTACAAGTGCCACACAGAGGAGGGTACCACCCAGACATCATCTTTAACTCAATCCAGTTGAGGCCTACGAGAAAGTGTGGCGGCAACAGTGAATCTGTAAAACACAAAACCTTTACTTAGCAAGCACACGTAAATGCTTAGGTATGTAAAATCATGCTGAAAATTGCACATTTAATTTCAATAAATTCCCACATACATAGTTACATGCTATATCATAGTTACATGCTACATAGTTACCACATACACTGCTACATGCTATATCAAGAAGGAAATACTGACAAAATCGCGTAAGCAAAGGAATTCACTGCTTTTAACACGTACAGTTTCTTGTCAACACACGACACGAATGCCTTTTAAAAGTTCTTAAATGAGCTCCTTTACAGACATGTCAGGTTTAGATGACAGCCGACCCCAAGCTTATAATTGGTCTGTTGACAGCGGTGAGTCAGTATCGTTTACCCAAAGTGTGACCGCTGCAACATATTTGCAATTTTAACGCTCGCTGGCCTTGCAGGTGCAGGTTAATGCAGACATCTCTCGCTTTGCTGTCAGCTACTAAGAAAGTGAAATGAAGATTAATTAGATGGATACTGTTCAAAACACTGTGAATAAAATCGCGAAACAAAATGAGTTCTCTCCTGCACATTAACACTATGAGAACTGTAACTACCAGTTGTGTAACAGTTATCTGCTTTTAACACTCGTGCACTTCGTAACACCGAGATAAAAAGTGCGATAGGAAAGAGATTCTCATGTGTGCGTTCGCGAACTACGAAAACTTTAATTGCCGATTATGCGAGTGTTATGCTTTCAGCACTGTTGCAAACATTGAAAACAAAAGCTCGAGATTAAACGCCCCATCACCTTGTAGCTGCTGATCACGTAAAAGACTTGATCGGTGATGTCTGCCACTTGGCCTAGTGCATCCTCAGTTACCTTGAGATAATTATTATCATTGAAGGCAACAAAATGTACAGGCAGCACACTAAGCTGAGCTCTTTCTTGAGCAGTTCCAATGCACACTTACCTGTACTTTCACATTATACTATGCTTGTTAGACTTGTGACTAACATTTGGCTGCAATCTTGAAATGTGTGAGTTGCTGCCGCAGTTTCCTCCACACCGTAAACATAAATTGTCTTGCAGATCTTGCATCCTTTTGACACCGCACTGTTGCGAAAGTATCCCTCCGCAACACGACACTGCTGGAGCCGAACCGCAAGTTAGCCGGTAGTATCTCTACTCGTTCGCTACACTAGTCTACTCTTCAGTCGCAGCTCCCGATTCATTGCCATCGACAATGCGCATACACTCGGATGTTATAAAAACACGGCACAAATCAGACACAGCCGATAAAATGACGCGCAATGTTCCGAATGCATTTCAACGTGGCCTAGTGCCGTTGTCCTACTATGACTTTTTCTGCCAACTCATTTGGTGGCGCCAAGTGTGCATTTTCAACACCCCACCTGGGCAGGGCTGGTTTTCCACAGGGCATCATCATCATCAGCTTGACTACGCCCACTGCAGTACAAAAGCCTCTTCCATGTTCCGCCAGTCAACTCGGTCCTGTACTTGCTGCGGTCACTTAATACCTGCGAACTTCCTTATCTCATCTACCCACCTAACTTTCTGTCGCCCCCTCACCCACTTACCTTCTTTGGGAATTCATTCAGTTACCCTTCATGACCGGCGGCTATCCTGCCTATGCGCTACGTGCCCAGCCCACGTTCATTTATTCTTGATTTGAATTGTGATATCCTTAACCCTGGTTTGTTCCCCGACTCACTCTGCTCTCTTCTTTCTTGTCTCGTAAGTTTACACCTATCATTTTCCTTTCCATCGCTCGCTGCATCTTGAGGACTCAATTTAAGCTGAACCCTCTTCGTAAGCTTCCAGGTTTCCGTTCTGTGGGCGAATACCGGCAAGATGAAGCTCTCATACCTTCCTCTCGAGGAATATTGGCAATCTACCAGTCATGCCCCGCTGCGGTGGTCTAGTGCCTTGGCTAAGGTACTCGGCTGCGGCAGCTGCATTTCTGATGGAGGCGGAAATGTTGTAGGCCTGTGTGTTCAGATTTGGGTGCACGTTAAAGAACCCCAGCTGGTCGAAATTTCCGAAGTCCTCCACTACGGCGTTTCTCATAATCAAATGGTGGTTTTGGGATGTTAAACCCCACATATCAATCAACTTCAAGTGCACTGCTACCTATATCAAAGCGCTGTTCTCTTTCGAGGTTGTTGTACATTACTTTCGTTTTCTGCAGATTAATTTTCTAGTTCAGTAATATAATTCAGTTATCATGTATTGCAATTCGTCCCCCGAGTTAGACAGCAATGCAATGTCATCGGTGAAGTGCAGGTTACTAACGTAATCTCCATTAACTCTTATTCTATAGGGCATAGGCAGTCACAATTATGTGGCAAGGTTTTCATGCGTTTTGCGTTGTTGTCAACAGTAACGGTTCATCAGACATATTCTTCTGTATAGCCTCTGATGCTCTGTGATGTACAGCAATCGTCATGAAGTCATACGTGTGCGTGGACCACTGTATGCCATCAATGCACAGTTCCTGGCTTGGCGAGCGGCGAGGGCACTCCAGGCATTTTTCGCGGGCTACCAGTGAACCATGAACAATGGCCCATGTGGCAGCAAGTGCTTGGTTTTGTGAATGAACAATGCGTTCCTATCCATCGAGTGTGCGCAAGTCTCGGTGACCCCATTTCATCTTAAGTACAGCACAACATGCAGAGCATTGCTTTGTTACAAGAACATGTTCTCGAGGTCTGTCAGGTCATTCGCGTATGGTTTCTTGTAACCATAGTAATAAAACCATCAAAAAGGAGTGGTGGCAAAATATCACACACGACCACCTTTAGGTGAGATTTCGAATTTAGCCCTGCAAGTGGTGCACAGTGATCGTAAGCAACCGGTGATGTCACTGCAGGAGTTAAAATGCAAAGGTAAATTTGTTTAGTCATCTGCTCGGGTTCGGAATATTGAAGAGTAGCAACTTTTCTTGTGCACCAATTTTCATAGCTCTTTTAACATCTCAGCATTCTATTATACACACACTACAGTGCAACAGAAGGAAGTCGGAACATTGAACAGCCTCATGAGCCTTGGACACAGTCATGCTGCCCAACAGCTATTGCATTTTATTACTCACCTGCACAAATATAGCAGCAGCTGTATCTGGTCTCTTCGATCTTCCGTACAGGTCTGCTGCTCAGATTAACCATGCACAACATTTGTTTAGAACAATGTATCGATCATTCTGTGCTTTTGTCTGTATAATGTGCTCCCTGTGCTATTCGTGTCTAGTGAAACCCAAACAGCGGCAGAAATTCGCAGTGGTGTAGTGCGCACCCTCCAGTCATCACCATCGACAGGCGCGCACATCCAGTTTAGCAGCACTACGCATATATGTGCGTCTGTCCACGCTGATAGCAGGAGGGCACGCACTGTACCAGTCCAAATGCTTGCCGCTCTTCAGATTTCATTTGACGCCGATAGTACACTAACTGCCTTATAGGTTCATTATGTGCAACTGCCCAAAATCATTCATTTATTGGATATTGATTGTTTTTGAATACAATAAGTGCTTTCATGTTTGCTGCTAAAGTGGTTGCTGGGGTGTATCGATGCGACATAGAAATGATGATATGCGGGATTTAACATCCCGAAACCACCATATGATTATGAGAGACACTGTAGTGAAGGGCTCCGGATACTTCGACCACCTAGGGTTCTTTAACGTACACCCAAATCTGAGCACACGGCTGGGCCTACAGCATTTTCACCTCAATCGAAAATGCAGCCGCCGCAGCCGGTATTCGATCCCGGGACCTGCAGGTTAGCAGCCGAGTACATTAGCCACTAGACCATGGCGGCGGGGCACATGACATGACAGACTTGGTTGCAAAAGAAAAAAACTTCTCCATCTGGATCTGTGGCCTTCATGGAAAACTCAAGGCTTACCCCCGTATTCTAGAACGTCCCTCCACTCAACGCTTCAACTTCACTTGAGAAGGCCGATGGGAGCGCCGTCTCTAGGCAGGGAAAGTCACTGCATATCAGCGATAATCTGCTGCGATTCCTGTGTAGCGCAGTGTCACTTTAAGCCGAGCAGCAGCGCAGTGCTCAACTCTGTCAAGTGAAGGGTGAAAGTCGAGTTGAGGAGCGTTTGTGAATACGAGGGTAAGTGTCTCGTGACAGTATCATTAGTGAACATTCTGAATAAATGGACAAACGATAGTGACATTGTAAGAGGTTTCTGGAGGCTTGTGGTTTGCAGTGGATAATACATCGCAAACTTTGAAGCTTTTGCTTCTGTGGTGCAACCGCACTGTCCTGAACCAAGACAGGACCTCCATGCTGCTGCTGTAACATCACCTCATGAAGGAAGGGCTCCAAGTTGTATGACCAACTGGGGTGACAACAGTGGTATTTAAGACTCAACAAATTTGTGTTTACTAGCAACAGCAAACATCAACTAGTGAAAAGAAAATGGTGCAAAACACTCAATATCTTAGAAAAGGAAAATTTGCAATAGCGCTGTTGTCTTCTTTTATCTGGTGTTCAGTATTTTGCACTATTTCCTTTCTACTATCAATACGCCTAAGTAACCACTTCAGCAGCAAACATGGAACTACGTATAGTGTTTGAAAACGAATATCCACTAATTTGGTCAACTTTGGTAGAACAACTGCAAGCCCTTGTGTTAGGCGATAGGTGAATTGGGAACATTTAAAGAAACACAGGGACCATTCTTTTTCCTCATCTCCAAAAGCAGTATTTCCGACCAATTACAGTTTATTACTGTACATGCAACAGCATATGCAAAAGAATGCCAAGCATATGCAAAAGAATGCCAACTGTTGCAAGCAATTCTACATATTGCACGTATTGTGTGCCTCGCATGAAATGCAGAGGAGGTTCAATTTTTCAAGAGTTTTAGAGATGGCAAACGCCCTTCGCCCAGTTTTTGTATTGGGAGATGACTGCTTATAACATTTATGACATAACCTTGAACTTTCACTCAATTTAAAGCCATGAATGCTCCAGCGCCAATAAAAAGTGGGATTCACTTCTAAATTCCACCATGTCATGGGGCTGCACTAGCTATAATTTAACATTGCTACTAATGCCAGTCGTTGATATAATTGCCAGTTATATACTGCATGTAGCTGGGTAGTATCTTGTTTCTGTATATAGTACACCATTGCTACCCACTGATATTGTTATGCTTAATGTTAAAAAAAAATTAAATGTTGCCATTTTCACTTTTGTGCATTTTGTCACTGGAGGGCCTTATCATTGCAGATTGAACAATCTATAAAAGGCTCGAAAAAAGCCCACAAGAAGAAAAAAAAGAAAGAGCACAAAAAGCATAAGAGGAGGTCACCCACTGTGTCCAGCAGTGGTGAAAGTACTGCAGAGGAACATGACAAGCATCACAGACACTCCAAAATAGGTAAGAAGGACCTCAGAATTGCCACTTCTGGTCGTAAAGGTGACAAAGAGCACAATGTATCAAGACACCATTCAGATGGAGTATCAAGGCCGAAAAGAACTTCATCACCTCATGTCCACTCATATAGTGACAAAAGCAACACTAGAAGTGACGCCCATTTACGTGGCCGATATGAGAAGAGTAATAGCAGCCAGAGGAAAAGCTCACGCCACCAACCTGTTTCGACCAAAGAGAGATCAAGGAGGCGACGTCACTCTATATCACCGAACTCCGAAAACCATCACGAAGTAGCAAGCCAGCTTAAACGATCTGTGAAGAGCAGTTCCCGATCACACAGCAAGAGAAAGAGACATGACTCAAGTAGCTCTGACAGCAGTGCAGAAGACCGCAAGAATAGGGATAACAGTCAGCGCCTCGGCAGTCCTGTCTTGGAGAGCAACCATCACCAGCATGATAAAAGGTCGAAGCTTGGGGCCATCGTAAGTGAAACCACGTAATGAATTATTGCATATTATGAAACACTGTTCAATTAGATGTCATAGTTATGGCTATATCATGTCAAAAAATAACGAAAGTTCAAAGGGAGCATAAATTTTCAACTGTTCATTCCAAAATTACTGCAGTGCAGTATATATGCAAGGCACACATTGAACAGGTAACATTTAATGCCATGCAATACAGTAGACGCTCAATAAATGGAAATCTGCTAAACGGAACTACTGCCTAAACAAAACTATTGCCTCTGCAATACTTGGTTTCGCGCTTGTATTCTGCACCCATGTATACCTCTCAGTAAACGGAACTCCTGTTAACATATTTTCTCGGTCCCTTCCGGTTCAGTTTACTGAGAGTGTACTGTACATAGGTATAGACAAGTGCAAAAGGAAACGCTCACATCAATTGATCGTGATTAGGATGTTATGAGATCGACGTAGACATTTCCTTTTGATCGATGTGGACCTTTCCTGTAACCTGCTCCAAATTTGGATTTTAGTGCTTCAGAAGTAACATTTTGCTTCTCCAAAAATTGCTCCAAATTCTATTTCAGCTATTGCACCCCTGCATAACAAAATTGGCTGCTTTATTTCTTGGGTAGGCTAGGAAGGACGATAATTTTGCAAGTCCTGCAGAACAATGAGAAGTCAGAAATCCTGTTCATCCCTTGCAGCACCATCATGAAGTAGAGACCCAGCTTAAACGACCTGTGAAGAGCAGCTCCAGATCACACAGCAAGAGGAAGAGGCACGACTCAAATAGCTCAGACAGCAGTGCAGAAGAAGACCACAGGAATAGTGAAAACAGTCAGCGCCTCGGCAGTCCAGTCTTGAAAAGCAATGATAAAAGGCCCAAGTTCGGTCTCATTGTAAGTTAACCCACATTATTAATGATTGCATAGCATGAAGCATGGAATGCTGGTTTGTTACCCATAACAGAGTGTGTTACTTTATTTCTTGAGTGCTTTATTTCTGGAGTACTTTATTTCTTCAGCAAAACATATGCTTTGGAATTTGGCAGTTATAGATTCTTCCGACTCTATTGTCATTCAAGTCATAAACAGATGGGTTTGCTGTGTTCTTTGGCTTTAGGTTCGAGGCAACCAGAGTCGCAAGAAAGAGCAGCAACCACCACCCGTGAAAGTGCAACCGAAGGAGCATAAGCAGAACAAAACAGCACCCCAGGCTACCCAGAAGCGCAGGTTTGCATACTTTTTGTTTTCTCTCTAAAGGGACCCTAACGGTTCTGAGGATTTTGTACAAACACATTGGGCCGGTAGACCAAATCTTATGGGTCATTTACAGACCAATTAGAGCTCTCTGTGTAAACTGGGTAATTTATTACAACACTTTAAAGCCACGAACTGCTGTTCAGCCAAACGCATTTTCAACTGCTCAGTCGCATAACGATGTGCTCTAGTAACGCGACGTCACCGAGACTGCTATCTGATTGGCTGTGGAATGCGCAGAAGTAAGATGGGCTGCTAGGGCGGTTTCACCTGTCTAAGCAAAGATCATATACTCCACAACCTACGTCTCTGTTGCCAGACAGCTCTGCAATCGCCAGTGGGTCTCTCGAGCCTAGAAGGCAAGGCCGAGATGAGAAGTATAATTGCACGAAGCGGCCTCAGTACATGGTGCGTCGCTAATTTTGTGGTGGAATGGTTTGATGATGCTTTAGCCTAAACGGAGACAAAACTTTTAAAAACCGTCTCAGGGTACCTTTATAGACTCAAGATGTGTGCTTTGATGCTGGCCACTTCTGTGGATGTACAGCATACAACTACATTTCCACATCTTTGAGTGTCCTAGTCAGCAACCAGTAGATGTGGAATGCTCGAACCAGCAATTGCCAATGTCACAAAACTCGTGCACAATTGAAACAGCTGACAAAGTATTGTTAAATTGTCACACTTCACAGACATGACCACACTTGTGATACCTGGTGTCTAGTCACACAAATATTTGTAAAAGCGATTTTGGCAATGTGCAATGATATGGCCATGCTGGAACCTTTTGTTTTACAGCTCATAAGAACACTATTTTGTGATATTGAAATGAGTAGGCTTGGTGCGAACAGTGAGTTTTAGGTTCGAATCGAATCGTGATTTTGGTCAAATAATTTCGAATAGAAATCTAATGGTATGTATCGGATATAAAAAAAGGACATATTTATCATGACCTAACAACTAACCTGCACAATATTTTAAAAAAATTAAAGCAGGGGCTCTATGCAAATGTTTTTTTTTGTTTTTTTCGTTCAAAGGAAGTCAGAATAACCTTAAGTACTAGCAAGATTTGAATTTCGGTAGTATGCTGGCGATAACATGTAAAATATGTAACATTTTAAAATTCATTATACTTAGAGCATGTAAGTCGTCATAACAAGCTTTTAAGCATAACAAAATGATGAATTCATTTTAGGGTAACATGTTCATTTAAAGGGACCAACAACTGCCAAGAACATGAAACGAGATGACTGCACAGGTGGAAAGATTGTCCCTCATAGCGACTCAAACCAACGTTATTTTTCTCGCGAGAAGTGGGGTTATTTTTATTTCTTCCTCGAAGATCATGGAAGTGGGCTGTGGCGCCACGTGGTGGCAGAAACTTCAATTATCCGAGCTGCCCTGTCATGTGACCGTAAACTAGTGTTTGTGGTCAACAATTTTACTGTTAGTATTGAAATATTGTTTGCTTTATAGTAAAAGATAATACTTCATAGAAATTTACTTATAGGCCGCGTTAGTAGTGCATTAGTTTGCATGACGTAATAATTCTGTGCTCGTCGGCGCATCTTAAGCAACTTTTCTATGTGCTCATGAAACCGTGCACGCAGTTTTTAAGTCGCTAAAATTTTGGAGTCTTACCTACACTCAGAAATTTTTCTCAGAAATGACACACAGTGACGTTTTCGGTGACTTGACTTGGCTCGAGCGTTGAGATAGTAACGATGACGGGACAAGCTATCCGTTACACAGGCGCATCAACCTTCGGCCCAGGCGCACGCAACGCGATACAAATACAAGCTGTATAAAGCTACTCGTCTCATTGTAACGGCTTGTTATTTTCAAAAATAGTTGTGAAGCTCAGAATAAACTTGGTTATGCATAGTTACAGGAACTCCTGCGAAAGCAGAACAATGACAGCATGCAAGTCACTAGAAGGGCTACCAGCATCGCTATTGATTCTCAGTGTTGCTGGACAAAAAGGCGCGTCAGTGTTCAGAACCTTTCAAATTGAAAAATACAGCCTATAAAATAACTACATGCTTTCAGGAGTAACTACTACAGCTACAAACACTGCGACGAGTAAGCTTTCGGTCACGCCGAAAAAAAACTGGGTTGAAAAAAATCAGTTGTCAATCCCTTTAAAGGTACCCTGCAACACTGTTTCAAGTAGCCATGGAGCCACTAAAAGAAAAAGCTTATTGCCTCACGAATTCGCCACCGCAAAAGCTTTAGAATCAGTCCAGTATGAGCGAAGTTCCAAAGATTGATCGCACACTGTAAATGCCTTCTCTCTTCTCGTCCTGACGAAAGAGCTGGAAGCTAATTCGGGAGGGTTGGCACAGGGAAAGGAAGAATCTCACGTGTCTGGCGACCTTGAGCACTTTTATCACTCTTATTTTTTTTCTTCGAATACATGGCCCTTCAGTGCGATCGTGCAGGTACGCGTGGACAAGCAGCGGCCTCCCGCGGTGGCCCCAGTAACAACTAAGTGCCATGCTCAAGTCAGCCAATGGCTGGTACAAGTGATTTTTGAGCTTGTAGTGTCATTTGCCGAGGGACGAGAGCAATGTTTAGCCGACTTCGAGAATATACTGTTAATCGCTGGCCGCATGCCACGCTATATTTGCTTGGCGTGTTCTCGGTAGCCTCAACTACCGATCTGCAGCATTTTCTGAGCAAGGCGGATTTCTCCTGGATAGGTGCTTTCATGGCTTAGAAGCCCCACAGTGTAGTAAAACTACCTTTACAGGCAGTTATATGCTAACTAATATATACCTATTCGTTCATTACGAATAGTACTTCGAAATTTTCAATAATTTGAATTCCGAATCAAGGCAAGTTCGAGTACTCTGCTATTCATTCGAATATATGAAGCATTCAAGTATTCGCACAAGCCTATAAATAAGTGTGATTGTCAAATACAAATTCTGAAGGCATTTATGTGACTACAGGACAGTTCTAATAAACATCTGTTTACTAATAACAGATTGGCAGGAAGTTTGGTCAGTACAAAAGCCCAAAAAGTTGTTTTTTTTTCTTCCATCTGACTATATTCATAGACCTCTGAGTGAAGAAGAGAAAGCCACAGCTCGCAGAGAAATGATGAAGAATGCCCAAGAGCATGATGAAAAGCGCAAAACTATTGTCAATCAATATCGGAAAAGTGAAGCTGCTGAAGAAAAGAACCACCACAAGAGCGTCGGGGGAGGTTTTATCCGGTAAGGATACGGCACAGTATCTGGCAATAATGGTGTGATTGCAACATGTAGTGCACCACTGATGACCACCTAGTAGGTGCGATCAACAGTACACATGGTACATAGAGCAGATGAGTGCTTTGCATAGCTTTGCTATGAGGGTATGACTGTGATTTATGGCTATGATTTTCGCTTCCTTTGTGTGCCAGGTATATAGGTAATTCTGCGGTGGCAGTGGCAGGAGAGTACGTAAGTGGACATGTGCACAATGTTCATGGAATCACGGCCAACCCAGTCCGCATACATCCAAAGTACCCTGCACGCGTAAAAAATCCCAATTATGAAGTGCAGCTGGTGGGGAAAAAGCCACTTTGTTTTGCTTACAAATATGGTGTCTCAATCACTCCTTGTTTTTCGTGCTGTCAAACTATTGCTGGATTACTGTTGGTGTAAATAATACTAAATACGTAATGAATACAAAATGTTTGGACAGACTGACATCTCGAACAACTCTGCAATGCGAGATGCCGGCTCATTGTGCAGCGATTTTGCTGTGTCAGATTTCTAGGGTTGTGTGAATAGTAAATTTTAGGTTCAAAGTGAATAGTGATTTGGTTCGAATAGTATATATGATGAAGAATATGATGAAGAAAATGGCCATATTTGTCGCTGCCCAATAACCTGCACAATATCTTTTTAAATTGAATCAAGGCATGTGCAAATGTGTTTTTTCTTCCTAGGAAGTGGAAGCAACCGAGTTGTAGCAGGATTTGACTTTCCATAAAATGTGATCGATAACCTGTAAAATAAGTTACATTTTCAAATTTACTGTTTTTAGAGCATAGCATACATTTAGATCTTTGTATTTCGAGTACTATACCACATTTTGTTGTGAAATTTTGCGTGCTTCGTAAGAGAGCTTGTGGCCTTATGTCTGTGCAGTTCTGACTATGTAGCTTTTCTTAGTTGCTTCTGGTTAAGTACGAATATTCAGACTGGTGCACAAAATTAAGTGTACCTGTTCTCGAAAAACCAAGAACAGTGACCATTAAATTTGGCATGCTTATTCAGCATTACATATTTGTATTAGTCCAAACCTATAAAAACGAGCTCCCATATTTATCTCACAAGCAAAAATATATATATTGCTTTTCTTGTCACGTGCCGCAAGGGGGAGTGTCCAATTTAATCTTTCTTTATCTATCTTAATTATAGCTTGAACAGTCTTTCAAAGTTTTAAGTTCATTCAGTCTGTTTAGAAGAGGTTTAGGTGTAATCTGAGAAAATTTGAATGAGATTGATCGAATAGTTTTCGAAAAAAGGTCATAACTTGCAGCAACAATTACGCTAAAAAAGCTCTTTGGTGGAAAAACTTGCTATCGCACGTTACGAAAATGGTAGAAAGTGAATATGATCATAGGATCAAGCCATAGTTATTGAAAAAAGTGCGTAGGTACACACAGAAACAATGACTAAAGAGAGCATGCGCATGCACTATAAAGCCCGGCCTTTTGAACGGCTTTCAAAGGGCTTGGAGCGTTCATTCCGGCGGAACAGTGGCTAAGCGTGCTCAGCTGCTGAACTAAAAGTCGCAGATTCGATCTCGGCCGTGGTGGTCGCATTTTGATGAAGGCAATATGGTGAAGCCATGTACTGCGTGATGTCAGTGCATGTTATCAAACACCAGATGGTCGAAATTGCTGAGCCTTCCACTAATGCGTCTCATAATCATATTGTGGTTTTGGGACGAAAAACCCCAGATATTATCAAGGCTTGGAGCACTCCTACGCTCTTACCAATGTATGCAGGGGTGCAACAGCCGAAATACAATTTGTAGCAATTTTTTTAGCACACTGCAAATTTTTTATCATGAAATATAAAATTTAGAGCAGTGTAAAAAAGGTTTAGATTTTAAAAAAATGTATAAACCATTCAACACCATCCAAATCGTGCAGTGTGAACATGAGCACTGCTATTCCAATAAAAATAGTATTTTGAACCACACCACTGGGCGAACAATGATAAAGTCCATATTAACATTTGCTGCGCCTGTCGAATCATTTGACACACTCTGCGAATTTAAATATGGATATGCCAAGCTCACAACCATGAAATTTGGGAGATTCGTAAACAGAGGTGTACGGGTGGTGATAAAAAGAACTGGGTACATTTTTTTTTTTTTAGAGAAGCAGGAATGTTAGACGCTGCTCCATATGACTGGCAGTAGCTTATTTAGACGACAGTGATTAAACTGGTACTCAGAATTATGCGGACTATAAACGCATGAGTAACCTAGCAAAATGTGCAGTGTCCCATGAGTAGTGCTAACAGCCCCTTTCAAATCTCAATACACTACTGCGGTGCACTGGTGTACTGCAGTGAAGGTGGCTTAAGCAGCATTCTCTCCACAGGTTAGAACCAAAGCCAAAAAATTTTCTAACTGCTACATCCCCCCTCCCCATTTCTCACCTTTTTTTTTTCTTTAACACGGGGGTTAGGCGCTGCTTTCGCTCCCTTGCGAAGCACGTTTGACCAGGTGAAATAACAGCGCGCACCTGTTGGCCCGGCGATGGCACCGAATATCTACAGTGGCTGGGACAACTTTTGAACAAAAAAAAAAAAAGTTGTGTGCTACTGCTAAGGCAATCAATATGGTCGCTGGCAACGCCAGCATTCGCAGCATGCCGAGCTTGTTCACGCGAGGAAAACGTGGCATACGCTTCCAGCTGTAGTTCCTAACAAGCAATAGCAGCCGCATTTTCAGGCTAGGAAATTTACATTTTCCACAAAGCGTTGGTGTCCACAGCAATGAATTTTTGTCTTGAAGTTCCATCATCCCGCCAATAAATATACACTGCGGTTAATGGACCAATGGGCGCGCAGTATTGTTACTTTGTCTGGTCATATTTTAAGTACAATGTAGGCGCTATATTTAGGGTCTGCGCGTTTCGACTTATGGCGTAAACTGGAGGGAGCAGACGTGGCCTGCATTTCTCGCCAAAATTAGCGCCGCACCTGAGAAAATTGAGGTTGGCTGGGCACTTTGCAGCAGCTTGGTGCAATTTCAGTCAGCCAATTTCATGGTTTTGGTGCAACAATCGTAAATTGGCGCAGATGTTGCACCCCTGTGCATGGCTTTGCTTCTCAGAGTGTAATGAAATAAAACGAAAAATCAAAACAAGTGCATCCAACCAGCACCAATATGGGAAAGGGGCTTGCCTTCCTTTCAACTATCCATTGTTGTCGTAGCTTTTGCTTATAAGGCTTCGCAAGGAATTGTAGGTATGCGAGCATCCCACCACATGGCAATTGTTTTTTAACAGTCCTTGAAGCAATGAACATTGCCTATTTGACTCCGAATGCGGATACGCATGCACAACGACGTAGTTAACTAAGGTGGCTGTCAGTTTACTATCATGAGAGTAATAAGAAAGTTTGCCACCAGTAGCGCCTCTGTTGCTGCACACTAGGAGTATAGAACTTTTAGACATGTCCCATTGGGGTTTCATTCAGATGAAAACTACTGCTAGTGCTGCTGGTCTAATGAAGAAGGTAAACACAAGTAAACATTGTTGCTTTTATGTACACAATTTAATGTGAACATGACCTTGTAATTGAAGACTATCTAGTAGTCTAGTGCTGGTGGTCACAGTATTGCACTGCGTATTGACACACTAAAATTTGTTTTGTTTTTTATTGTTGCTCCGTTTTTAGGCCCATGCTGGCAAAGGCTGCAGACACTGGCAGCGTGGAGAACCGAATCAAGCAAAAAATGTACACTGTGCAGCGAACCAGCAGTGCCATGGACGTCCATTTTGCTAGAAAATAAATCACCCTGCACTAACAACTATATAAGGCCATTTCATCACATTCATGTAAACATTTCTACTTTCCAAACAAGCTATGCATTTAAACATATTAAAAACAATTGCAATGTACAACACAGACTTTGAGCCTGCCTTTAACATAATTTGCCACTGTCTGCTGCTATGCACCTCCATCACAACAGTGCTGTCTGAAGATCACGAAAACTGCTGCAGTGCAGTTTTCACCCTGCAAGAAATGAAAATCAAGCAGTTAGCCCTCTCACTAAAACAGCATCAATTTGGACGACACTAAGATTGTTTAGCCTGCAAAAAATCTTTCACATTCAAGATCATAAAGGGACCAGGTGTACATAAGCAGAGTTTCGTTAAGCAGTATAGTTGCATTGCTAAACAGTTTTATGTCTCATTTGTGCAATGCTGCCATCTTATCCACCAGGGAAGTGTTGCCACAAATGGCAGAAGTAAGTGGACTCTCGTTAAACAACCTGAAGGTACAAGGAAAACATGTTTCACTCAACAGGGGTTCTACTGAACTAATTAAATATTTGAAATCAGCATAAAACGCCTATACACACAGCAAAAATTTCATTGCCGTTGGCTACAGATTCACGATAATTTCTTTTTTTCGAATCGCATCTCCACTTAATGAAAATATGTGACTCAGAAAGTTTCAGTTCTTCAACTGAATAAATAAAATGAATGCATCAACACACTAAGTTCATTTTTGTAGAGCCACATGGTTGGTTAGTACTATGTGGAAACTATCCACTGTGTTAAGACAGGACCAACACTGGTGGCTAGAATTTGCAACTTATAGGTATACATATATCTATACACCCAGGTATTCACAACCTATAGGTGAAGTCACTTTCATATGCACACACAGACTATTCCTGAAGAGTAGTGAAAACATATAAACACTGCAGGCCATATGAAAGCAATTTTTAAACAATTTGGCATATAGGAGACTGAGTACACCACAGCATACAAAATGATGTAAACCTTAGAACGATTACTGGCTTCATGAAAGGCTGTCATGGTCATCGTGAGACAATTTTTCCTCTTTTTATTTACTTCACTAGTTCCCCATCAGTCTCACAACTTTCTCCAATTATTCCAGTTGCTGTCATGGCAAGCGAGCATACAATGTTCCCAGCCTGTTTCAGACATACTGCTTAGATGACATACTTGTCAAAGAGGGTTGTGTCACTAGTGATAAGAAGAGACTGCAGCAGCTTTTGGACCCCCAACTCGCGCAGCTTCGCCTGCCTTTCCCGGGCACCTGCAACAACAACAAAACCTGTTATAAATTGTTCCCATGCTTTTTTCAAAGCTGTATCATATTACTCAGCACAAGTTAACACAACAAATTTCGTAAGGGACATTTTTTATTAACTGGTTCTCCTCATTGTAGCTACCATAACATTTAAAAAGCAAGATCACGGGTACTGTTAGCAAATGGCTTTTAATTACTAATGTAGTAGTAATGACTGTGACTATCACAATAAAAGTACCTGCAAAATTGTATCCTAATATTATAATTGACTCTCTTGTTACCACATCTATTCAAATCGATCACTGGTGATCGATGCTTTGGATTGTCGATTTTGGCATGTTGAATTTTTTTCTAGTGCACCCAGCACTTTCTAGTAGTTAGTCCAGCCACTTGACTTTCACCGCAGGGCGCGGGTTCGAATCCCGGCTGCGGCGGCTGCATTTCCGATGGAGGCGGAAATGTTGTAGGCCCGTGTGCTCAGATTTGGGTGCACGTTAAAGAACCCCAGGTGGTCAAAATTTCCGGAGCCCTCCACTACGGCGTCTCTCATAATCATATCGTGGTTTTGGGACGTTAAACCCCACAAATCAATCAATCATCACTTGACTTTCAGAATCAATTTGAATTTGCTCGTTTTGGTAACACAGTGATTTTTGACAGACTTTTGCGCTAACCAATATGCATGCATGTGCTGATAAAAAAAATGCACTAGGCTGGCGAATTTGACAGAAGTGTGCGACCCTCGTGGTTATGCTACAGTAACATCAAAGTTCTGTAATCAAAAGAACCTTTGCAAGTCAAATATTGTCAAGATATCAACTTCGCAATCTGAGTGTTGAGCAGCAATAGTTGCCAGAAATGTATGCCAGCTATTCAATAAAAAGCTGTTGCTGGGAGTGAGGGAACATTTATTCTACAGAAAAAAAAGTCACTGCTTTGCCACAAAGGTGAAGCAATGAACGCGATAGCAACAATTTGAAAGGTCATGTGCAGAATGGAAAGCAGATCGATGAAACGCGCCCTGCGTTTCTTGCACACAAATTACGCACGAAACGTACTCACAGGTACGGATGCACGTGAAAAAGCGTCTCATTTGTTACTTCGCTGAGTATGAAAAGCACGTGCTTTTTGCGAACGGAGACTGCAATCATTGCATTGACGGCAAAATCCAGCCGAGAGTGTCCATATAATTGCTATCGCAATAAAATATTTCAGGTCTGTCGTGTGTATAAATTGTGAAGGTGGTCTTCTGAGCCAGTTTACATTAGTATTGGTTTCGCTTGTATTGTTATATCAGACACAGGGTCGTATTTCGTGTCACTAGTCACGCCTAACTCCTATGGTGTCATCGTCACATGTGCATGGGTGCGCACCTGCGCTGCAAAAAAAGTGCGCTGCTCGAAACTGTCTTGCAACCGTACCTGAAATGAGGGTGAGCATAAGAGTCCGAGGAGGACTTCAGCTTCAAGTTTTATGGCAACGATGCTTTGCGTCAGCCTGAAACATCCGCAGTCGTTCATGAATTTATTTTTTTTACAGCCTCAGGTTGTCTCCTCAATTGCAAGTGCATAGCTGCTGACCTTTGTGCACTGCACAGTGGTTACATGCAAGGTCTTCCCATCGCAGGCGTGCGGTGTGCTGGTACCCGCTACAGACCTTCTCCTCACGAAAAGTAGGTTACCGGGGCACATCTTGGCCCTGACTACGGAGCAACGCGAAAATTTTTAGAAACGCGTGCAATATTTTTTTTTATATGATGTGCAAAAATAAAAAGAAGTATGCTTGAATGCATACTGTATTTAATCGTGTAATGAACCCACTCACATAATGAACCCAACCCTTACCTTGATCCTTAAAAAGGAAAAAACTTTTTTAAATGCATCTATTCATTTTGTTTCGGTATGATAGCGAGTGCCGCTAATGATTGAAACAACGTTAAATCAAGCCATTATATGACAAAATAACAACGCAATGAAAGCCAAAGATATTTATGCAATCCTGCTGAACAGTTGCGAGCAGCGCGAGCGCGAACTACGTCATTTAAAATTTGAAAGTCGCGCCTTGTACGGCAAAGCACCATCTGTCGAATGTAGGAGAAACCTCTTTGCTGATAGCGCCACGAAGACACAGCGGCACAAAAACAAAGCGCGTAGCGTCCAAAATGGCCCTCGCGCTGCATCATGAAACACGCCGCGCGCTCGCCATCTCGGACCTATGCAAAATGCAACGGCACCCACCGCGCCGACGGCACGTTGTGTACCCGCAACGTCTAATACAATATTTGTGCACTGCCATCCGATGCTGCATTTTCATTGTTGGGTTCGTTGTTGTGAATTTGTTGGGACACCTGCTGCGCAGAGCGCGTTCGGCCGGTACGCTAGCTACACGGCTGGATATTAACAGCATGCGCTGGAGCATTGGAAACGAGCGGCTGGATGACACTTCAATGTCGATTCATGCACTTTCATTACGGGACGAAACAAAAATAGCATCAAGCTAAACGGATCAAAAGAAGTAAAGTCGTCACCTGAAATTTTCGCTGTTGTAACTGCCGTGACTTTTTTTCACCAACGTAATGCACCCTCCCCCTAATTTGGAGTCAACTTTTCTGAAAGAAAGCTGGGTTCATTACGCGAGTAAGTACGGTATATTAGAACGCCAACCTATGTGCAAGAGAAAATCTGATTTATAGAGGGATTCTTTACATCACGTGCATCCATTTATAGTGGAACACCTGCAGGCTCTTATCGCAAAAAACAAAAATTTACCGAACAAAGTAAGAGTTCACTTGTTTCTCATGAAAAACAAAGCAATGCTTCACTGCATGGCATGAGCAATGAAGCAGCACCTCAGTTTTGATTTTTTCTGTCTATGTGAATAAAAACATTTTGTACTAAATTTATAATTTTTTATACTGTTCCTGGGTCATTTATCTTCAAAATGTATATTCTGAATTTTCTTTGTTTTCAACATTTTTGCATATATAGTGCTTTTTTATTGCACTGTTTACCAGCTGGCAACTGAAAATTTCACACCTTTCACATTTTTATACATACCAAAATATTTTTGTTGCTTGAGACCTTGTATTTTTTGAAAGAGCATTTCATTGTGGCAAATGTGATATGCTGCAATGCGTGCTGGCATACTTTTCAAGCTGGCAAAAGCTATTTTTCCCCGAGACATATGAAAAATAGCCATTCTCGCCCGGTAACGAAAGAGTTAAGGTATAGGCCCAATATGTTTGGTCAAAATTCGGAGACACCTACACGCTCATAGGTCATATATTAACATTTTTTTAATATAGAGATTTATTTTTACTTTCACTTTTATCCACAGAAGGTCATACACACAAGCAATGGGACAAAGAATAAAATGAAAAGCAGGGGGAAATGAATGTTCTTTTCCCTGCTTTTAATAGTACAAGCAGGCAAAATAAGTAACATTAATCAGAAAGATGCAACATAAATTGACATAGGGGAAAACACACGATTATAATCGAATAACCACTTGGTAAGGGTCTTGACTAGGGCACATTTAATACCTTCAGGTAACATACGAGGATTTACTAGTCAGCTTCTGCCTTTTAAACATTTATTCCATCTGATGCTAGTGGTGAAAAGCACCAAGTTGAGTTAATAGTTTACTACTAAGTTGAGTATTTTCGATAAAGTAAATACAGTCGAATCTCATTAATTCGAACATGCTTAATTTGAACTTCCAGTTAATTTGAACTCACGATGAGGCCCA